CTGAAGTGGTAGGTCAGCCTCACCCTCCTACCTCACGCTCGACCCGTGTCCCCCTTATGCTTACTTCTCTTATGGTTATTGGTCTCTTATGGCTATTTTCTATTGCTTCTGGGATGCCTATTGGTATTAATGCTAGTGTCTCCCTTATTGCTATTTCCTCTTTTATTCCTATTGGTTGTCTTATGGCTAAGTTATCGTCGTCCCCTTTTCACTTTATAAGGTTTTGTCTATTCGGATGTTTCTTAAATAATGATATTATCTTAGCCTACGTCTTATCATTATCGCCTTATAATTAGACTTAAACTAACTTAATAATAGTATTATTTCCGATTCGTCTTTCAGTAATCTTTGTTTGGATTTTTTTTATATCGTACAAAAACTTATTCCACTTCCAAAACTCATTGAAACATTTTCTTAATCATGAGAGTAATATGTCATTTTATTTGGCTTTGGAGGTATTTATGGGCTGATGTAGTTTTTCGGTAGTTATTGTATACATTTCGACTTAGTCTACCCCAAGATATAAACGTATTTAATAGTGATTCACGCACAATCCTTGCTATTTTTGGGTAATTAGTCGTCTACGAAATCTAAGTTCGTGTGAATATACATAATGAATTTGTGTGTGTGTTTGTGTTGTAAGCGATGGCTATTTGCATGACTGTCTATTACTACAGGTATATCTCATTTCATGAAATTAATGAATTTGCTCATGTTTTATGGAATGTAAAATGCTATCTTCTATTAATTCTTATACACTAATTAGTACATAAACACAACAACATAGATCTATTTTGATTTACCTTTTCATCATTGACTCTCCTTCACTCCAATATCCCATTCAATTGAACTGTTCATTACTACAGGCGTGAACCACTAAGTAATAAACCGTAAATAAACCATAAACTCGAATCCCGATAAACCTCAATCTATCTACTTGTGTTTAAAATCGTAAAATAACTCGCATGACCTTTGACCTCCTTCGATACACTTCCGGGTTCCTGTCCTCCTCATGCTTACTTCCTGCGCGCTCCCTTGACCTTACCTCTCGCCTCCTTATTTTATCCTTCACCCTCCTCCTCGACGCTTCCTCGGCCTCCTGCAGTCGCATCCTGTGGTCCTCCTTCTCCCTCTCCCTCTCCTCCCTCTCCCTCTTGGCGTAGAGCTTCCTCCACTCCGCCTCCGGGACCACGTCGCCCTCCTCCGTGATCTGGAACGAGAGGTGGATGTGGCGGAAAGACCATTTGTATCCACGCACAATACGCTCGCAAACACACACACAAATACACGCACACATACACACACACACATACACACACACACGCACACGCACGCATACACACACATACACACACATACACACGCATGCACGCACGCACGCACGCACTAATGCACACACACACACACACACTCACATACACACAACAGACACACACACACACACACACACACACACGTATACATCTATCCATCTGTATGCTTATTTATGTATCATCTCTAACATATACAATCGAATATTCTCTTGTTTTATATAGAAGACGAAAATAACTGAGACGTTTCACAACATACGGAAAAACGGACATAATTTTCCAGTGGGTTTGAGTGCCAAGGTTGGACTGCCTTCTTTGCGTGTGCCACATCCGCGGGCCGAACAAATAGCGTTTTGCTTCTTCTAACGAAATCAAAGTCAGCAAAAAGGCACTTACTGTAATACGTTAACGAATCAGCTGATACGAAATACAGTCTTTTGCCTTTATGTCCGGTTGTTATCTCTCTTTTGCTGTGACTTTATCTACAAAGAGCTAGCATGTGGCACGCAACGTACTGACGGAATACCTTGCGTATGTGTTTATTATTTCCTAACTATCTTTTTTGCTTACTTAGCTAATGGTTCGTTATTTTCGTTTTTATATATTTAACTGCCTTCATCTTTTTTTTACTGTTATTATTTACTTGGTTTTTGTTATATATATTTCCAAAACTGAAGTACTCAAAGTGATCGTGCAATGATTTGGACATTGGAAAAGGAAAAAAATCGCGTAATTGTAAAAAAAAGAAGAAAAAAAATGCCTTCAAAGACTTCCTTGCTGCGTATATAACATTCGCTAAAGCCCTGAACATTTCAAACAAACAAACAACCAAAATACAAACTAACAAATCAAGATATATTAAGTGCATATTTGTTCACATCACTAAAAGAACTGGTATAAACCTGGGATCGATGTTATCACCCTGCAAATGAACACTTCTCCTGGACACAGTAATCTTAAAATGACTGTAATTACTCACGCAGACGTAGCAATACGATACTTAAAGACACTCGGCTAACTTTGAGAATTTTTTTCTTTAAGAATATCTGCAAACTTCAAATTTATCAAACCGTTTCATAAAAATAGAACAATTTATATCATGGACCGTGTAAACTAATGTTTTCGTTTTTCGTTACATAGGAAAATAATATTACCTCCGCAAGATAGACTTTGCTAAAGCTACTCTTGATGGCACAATGAAAGGATGCATTTCAAAAAAAAAAAAAAAAAAAATCAAAATTTTTGGTCTGAGAGAGAGAGAGAGAGAGAGAGAGAGAGAGAGAGAGAGAGAGAGAGAGAGAGAGAGAGAGAGAGAGAGAGAGAGAGAGAGAGAGAGAGAGAGAGAGAGAGAGAGAGAGAGAGAGAGAGAGGAGAGAGAGGGAGGGAGAGAGAGAGAGAGATAAAAGAGAAATGAAAAAGAAGAGGTGGGAAGGGGAGGTAAGAGTTCTCAGTCGTTGCCGTATACTAAAAAAATAAATTAAGAAAAAAGAAATAGACATAAACAAGTAAGTAAATAAATAAACAGATAATGGAAATGTAAACACCTACACCAAAACAACAACAACATCAACAACAACCTTTTCATCATAAAGAATCCACAAATGAGACATTCAGCAAGGACGCCCAATCAGACAAGGGCAACAGACCACCAGCACAGAGTCCTCCGCCTGCACATCGAACGCACGACCCCAGCTGGACGACGAAGAGGTAGAGGACGAAGGTGGAGGAGGATGAGGTGGAGGAGGGTGAGGTGGAGAGAACGAGGTGGAGGGCAAAGAAGTAGAGGACGAAGGTGGAGGACGAAGGGGAGGAGGAGGAGGTGGAGGACGAAAAGGTAGATGAGGAGGAGGGTGAGGTGGAGGAGGACGAGGTGGAGGACGGTGAGGTGGAGGGCGAAGAGGTAGAGGACGAAGGTGGAGGAGGACGATGTGGAGGAGGGTGAGGTGGAGGAGGACGAGGTGGAGGACGAAGGTGGAGGAGGACGAAGGTGGAGGAGGACGAGGTGGAGGAGGGTGAGGTGGAGTAGCGTGAGGTGGAGGGCGAAGAGGTAGAGGAGAAGGTGGAGGAGGACGAAGGTGGAGGAGGACGAGGCGGAAGGCGAAGAGGTAGAGGACGAAGAGATAGAGGACGAAAGTAGAGAAAGGACGAGGTGGAGGACGAAAGGTAGAGGAGGACGAGGGTGAGGTGGAGGAGGCCGAGGTGGAGGACGAAGAGATAGATCGTGAATGACCTTTCGGCTGAGGGGCGACGAACCGGAGGGCCACGGTTGTCGTGTGACCCAGGGTGATCGACCGATAATGAATGCATGTCTGTATTGATTCCCGTGTTCTTTCGGGTGAAATGGAGTTATTTATCTCTCTTTTTCTTATGATTTTTTTCTGCTTCAATTTCATGTTTTTGTTTTGAAATTTCTGTTCTTGTGAGAATTAGTATCGTTTTGATATCCAGGGTGATACCACTCGCATTTGTTTCTATATATTTGTTTGTCTTTAAATTCTAATATTCATATACTACTTTGGGAAATTACGGGGGTTGTGAGCCAATGAACAGATGATAACATCACTCAAAAACACAAATTCTGGACCGTCATATATGTATATATACATACATATATATATATATATATATATATATATATATATATATATATATATATATATATATATATATATATATATATATATATAATTGATTGAGTTATCATTATTGTTATTATTATCATCATTGGTATCATAATTATAATGGTTATAATGATAATGATATTATCATTATTATCATTACTAATTTTGATAATAATGATATCATTATAACCTACTGTTATTATTATCATTGTTATTACTATTGTTATCATTATTACTATGATTATTATTATTACTAATATCATTATTATCATTGTTGTTATCAATATCACTATTATTATTATCATTATTGCTACTATTATAATTATTATTATCATTTCTATTATTATTATCGTCCTTATCATTATTATCATTATTATTATCATTGTTATCATTATCATTATTATTATTATCATAATTGTTATTACCAATATCATTTTTATTACTATCATAAATATTACTGCCATTATCATTTCATTGATATCTTTTTAATCTAGATATAACACTTGCTATTTGAAAAGAACGGCTAATAATCATGCAGTTTTGTGTTGCATAAATCTTAATCATTATCTTTTTTGATATAGCAATTTTTCTTTAAATAAATAAATAAAAATTTCATAATCATTATCTTTTTTCATATTTTTGTACTTTATTAATTCACTTTATGTAAAAATGTACGAATATGTGTTATGTTCTTAATCATCAAGATTTTGTTTAAAGGGAAACCGTAAATCAAAGAAAAGAGAGAAAAGAGAAAAAGAAGAAGAAAAGAAGAAGAAGAAGAAGAGAAGAAGAAGAAGAAGAAGAAGAAGAAGAAGAAGAAGAAGAAGAAGAAGAAGAAGAAGAAGAAACGAACGAGAAGAAAGGAGGTAAAAAAAAAAAAAACGTTTGTTGAAAGAAAGAAGAAGAAGGGGATAAAAAAACTCGTACAAGCAAAGCCAACACAAGAGGAGCAGTAAAAACACGCGTGTATCCGCTCTTGCCCTTTGTAAGTTACTGCTACTCTGATTCATGGTTCTCGGCGCGACAGGTATGTATTGTTTGGAAGGAGGAGGGTGGGTGGAGGGAGGTG